CGACAAAAAAGTTAGGAGCAATCAAGGAAACAAATTTAGTTATCTAAGTGATTGGGATCAAGTGAGGCTAAGGTGAGTGCATAATATAGATGTAGTTTTATGGAAATAAGACTTGTTATAAGTCTATTTCCTATGTTAATTTTCATGGTCCAATAGTTATGAACATGCGTATAGAATGATCATCATAAACACATGCATAAGTATTATATGTGTATATGTTGCGATACATGCTATAAGATCTATGTGAACATAATTATATAACATAAGCTATATGATATGAGATAAAACATATGTGATCACAAGATAAATGATATGAGGTCAAAGTGTAAAGACTTCTACGACTCACATTTTCTTAGAGTTAACCTTAAACTCAACAAGTAATAACCATCTATTCTCATATCTTTGAATCCCATAATCCTGAGGTTAAAGTAACACTTTTACTAACAACTTCTTTCAGGTCGACTATCGAGTGTGACCTAAGTCCTCAAAGAATTTCTAAGGTATACCTTGTCTATCCTACTAAGGCCCACCAACTAGACATTTGGATACTCACACCTGGATCCTCTACATATATAATTTTCCTACCTATTTCGCTTGACACCACAAAAGCATGCATACACTTACGCCTACTGAAGCAACATGAAAAACTGAGGTAGCTGAAACATACTTGGCATCTCATCTTCGACATCAATATCCTGACTCTGCCTCTCTGCGATCTGATAAGTTGAATCATGCATAGCCAAATTAAGAACTGGTCGATATGCTCTTTTACTTTTCTGTCTGGGCATAGAACTAACACCTCTCTGAGTAGGCTCTTTGCCATGCTAAAACACTGTAATTGCTCTCCTAGGTTGAGCTGAGACATCGACATTTGAACTAGAGCAATCCCTTACCATATACGCTAAGGATCCACATCTATAGCATTTCCTAGAGAGTTTAAAGCATTAACCTCGATGATTTTTGCCACAATGCTCACACTCTAGATACCTCACCACTCTATAAGAGCCTCTAGAGCTCGCCACAGACAGTGAAGTTGGTAGTCTTCGATGAGACCCAACATTTGACCTCTATGATAGAGAAACGGAAACGGATGATGGATTGTTTCTCTTGTTGAAAAATCAAACTTAGAAAGCTCTCGACTCAATCAAAGAACGATAGGGAAAGAATGGGATGTTATGGACGACGATAAAGGATATTGGTATTTGGATTAGGGTTGATGTTAATTTATCAAAAGAAATAAGATTAAGTTAATAAATATATAATAAGAAATAAAATAAGAAAGATGATATAATAGAGATACTTAGCCAAAATTAGGGTTTTGGTATGATGGATGATAACGGTGATTTGAAGATGATGTAGTTATGGAAGATACAAATAGATGGATAATGTCCTATTGAACCCTCTTAGTCACAATAAAAAGGCAAACTCGATAATACGACTCTAAATAACCCTCCTAAGTGCAATGAAGAGGCAAACCGAAGTGTGAAGATCTCTCTCTCAAGAACTTGAAAAGAACTCAATGGAAAGAAGCTTCGAAGGCACAAGTGTCACCACTTGCAAAAGAGAAAACTTTCAATATATCGCATTAAAGAAAAGTTGTGTTTTACATTGGTGAGAGTAACCTCCTTTATATAGGATGAAGGATTCCTTGTTGTAGTGTGACTAATGCTTGAAATAATAATAAAAATAACAATAACAATACTATCATAATTTTTAATAACAATAAACTAAAGATAGTTTGTTTTAAATCTATATTAATTCAAAATAAAATAATAAATCTAATCCTAAAATATAATGCATCATCCTATATTAAATTATATTACAAATAATCAATTTAAATATTAAAAATTTGTAATATTTACAAAGTCCCGTATATAAATTTCTGTATGCGTTGTCTTCACTAAAATGAGTGTATCTCGAGTTATCGATATCGGATTAATGCGATTCAGGAACCATTGGAATGATAAGAGACAACTGATCATTACTCCAGGAGATATGTTGACCAAATACATCAGGATACCATTCAAAAAGTAGTCATAAGTCTGCTACTATTATGTTATTCGTTTCCAAGGCTTGGTCGTGTGGATCAATTGGAAACATTAGTTCATATTCCTTTGATTTGAGCCTCATGATGCATGTATCACTCTGACTAAAATAAAGTGAAAAGGCTGGCATCACTCTTATATGCTCGCACGAACCTCTGGCCTTCATGTCGCTAACTAAAATAGGTCCACTGGTATACAAGTCCACATACTTGGGATGCTTGATTCTCCCTGCAAAATCTTCCTCATACTAGGGTTGCTTGATTCTCACTGCAAACTTTTTTTAATTTACACTATTTAACTGGGTTCTATAGGATACACTTACAACCATTGTAAAACTACACTTTTTTAGGATCGTTGGATGAGGAGAAATCAAAGACTGAGATGAACTCCTTATTGTATCAGTGAATATCTTCTCATTTCCTACTGTTATTCTTAGTCTTTGATTTTCCCTCGTCCAATGTCCTAAAAAAGTGTTTAACTAAAAAAGATTTACAATGTAATTGGATCCTAGCCCATATATATATATACACACACATATATATATATATATGAGCGCGTGCGCTTGTGCAGGTTAAGATTCACTTACACCTATTGTAAAGCTTTTAATTTTACACCCTTTTAGGATCATTGGATAAGGGGAGATCAAAGGCTGAGATTAACTCCTTTTTTTTTTCCTTCAGTGAATATCTTTTTATTTCCTACTGTTAATCTAAACTTTTGCTTTTGATTTCTCCTCATCCAACGATCCTAGAAAGATATATTTTTTTGCAGTTTTATACTATATAATTAGATCTTAGCCTATATATATTTATGTAACCGATAACTATTCAAATGACTTCTAAGCGGTAACTAAACATATGGTCCAACATAAAATGATCTTAATTCAATAGAAGATCATTTACGTAACTCTCGTATTTGTATCAATATATAGTTATTATTTTTTATATATTAGAAATTCATTTATTACTTGTATCGGTTTTTAATTAAATTTTTATACTATATAGTTATGATATATCAAAATTATTTTTTAATTAATAATTAATTAGTTTAATCGGTCAAAAAAATTGAATGAGTGATCCTTTTCCCAATGGACGGTCAATAGACGTATTTTGACATGGTAATAATAAGGAATGAAGCATAGCGGAGAAGACGAAGATAAGTAGGACTCACGGAAACCAAAATTAATTGGTTAGAGATAGAGTTTAACGTATGTTGGACATGTATTAACGCATAATTTTATATTGAAATGATAAGTCTTTATTTTTAAAATATAAATCAGTAAAATTTTAATAATAAAAAATATAAGAATTTAAATTTTAATAAAAATAAACGATATATAAGAATTTAAATTGTTCAGAGTAATGAAGGGATTTGGGTTCGTATAAAATAGAAAGTCCCAATTAAGTGAGTTGAAGGCTTAGTGCACCACGGCCTTGTATAAAAGCCACATTAATCAAACACTTCACTATGTTTTGCTTTTATCTTGGGAATATAGATTACAGCAGAGGATGGGATCATCATAAACATAAGTTTTGCTTCTTAATAAAGACCAGAAATTTACAAATGAATGAAATGGTTCCCATCTTCCTTTTCTAGGTGGAAAGTGTTCAGTCAAGCAGAAAAGGCTCCATGGAAAGCTGCAACACCAATCTGGTATTTCGGCTCAAACCCCAATTTTGGGACCTCGATTCCGAGATCCCCAATTCTGCTCTTAAGCTTCAAACCCAACACCGCAACGCAGGAACCCAACTTCATGATCTTTGCTTGTTTTACAGCCCCAACTTGGTTTCTTAGCCTCCTCTCGTATTCCTCGCGACAAGCATTTCGATATCAGCCATCTCTCCGATCAAAGATTCGATCCACAAATGTGATTGATGCCACTTTTGATATAACGAGTGGAGTATTTACAAGGGTGGGGGAAATTATTAAGGTTTGAAGGAATGGATAAGGCTGACGGGTGTTGGTGAGTTGCATTTTAAATTATTAACGTGGGACTCATGGTTGCTTTCTTCTATGTATACAATCTGATTTTATATATAACCAAATCAATACTTTCAACCTAATTCAATGGACCATACCCAACTTTGAAGTCAATAAATCTAAGCATCAGATACCACAATGAACTTAACATTGAATCTCGCCTGCTACTCCAAAATTGATTAAGAATAGATTACTAATTTAAAAATGTTCATGTTCCCTTCAAAAACAAAACAAACCAAACCAAACCAAACCAATGTTCATGTTTTGCTTCCTTTCACGAAAAACATAAATAAACTAATAAAATATTGGACAATAAGTCCAAATTCCATGTCTCTTATATCCATTTTGTCTTCCAGTGGATTATTATCATGTTCGCCAAGTGATTCCTCGTCTTAATTGTAATTATAATTTCACTAGTGTATTGTATCGGATGATTTTAATTATAAAAATACATATTTTTAATTATGATTGTAGTTATAATCTCAAAAAATTAGATTATTCATCATAAAATTTTCAAATTCAGATATATCCGACCCAAATAACTATATATAAATAATATTATGGAAACATTTTAATTATATTTTTGAATCGACCTAAGCCGGACCTGCACAAGAAAAGTTTATGCAGAGTGATAAGACACCTAGGTTGCAGGTTTATCTATTTGTAAAGCGCATACAATCTGAAAAGTGACAGTTTATGCAAAAGAAAGAGAACTTACTGCTCAGATATCAAAGGTCTTAACAAACATGGCAGACACCCTCGGTCTATCCCTGGCAAGACATTGAAATATTGGACAAACACAACCTATGTTAGTCCGACATTAATTTTCTTGAAGAACTAGTGTCCGACACATAAGAGGATATGACCTCCAAGATGCTCTAATACATGAAAAACTTCAAAAAGATCTGGCCTTATTCGTTTTAGGCACATACCTGCAACCGGTACTCACAACGGAATCCAAGTACAACAACGAAATGAAAAGAAAGCGATGACATCAGTAAATATATAAAGCACCAAAATCAAGTTTCAGTGATACATCAGCTCTGGGTACACATTACAGAGAAGGGATCGACAAACTTCCACTTAGTTTGAATGAAATAGGTTATACAAGAAACCACTCTCAGGAAAAGAAAAATAACTCTACAAGGATACTAATATTTGGCAGGAAATCATTAACATGAAATTCATGTTTGAAAATGTTGTCGGTTACATTCCATGTTCTAGTTTCTTCAAGGAAGTGAAACTAATGGTACCACTTCAAAAGGAACATAGAAACTGAAAAAAGAAGTTTAAGAATCTCACAAATAATTATTCACATAATTCTAACTAAATGATAATGATATTGACAACCTTTGTAGAACTTCTTGCTTGATAACGGTATCAAACTTGTTTTTTAGGTATAAAGAGGATTTATTAGCCTGTTGTGAAGACTGACATACCAAAATACCGAGCCAATCCATATTTATATCATGTTTCCGTCAATTGACATTATGCAGTTCTAGACTTACAGAAGACCAAGTGTTTTCAGCTGCTGGACGTGCTCAGCTGGGAGAGGAGGAGGAGACCAGTCAGATCCAGTCATTTCACCATCAACATCCTCAACAACATACTCCTAATAGATACACAAAAAAACCTTCTTAAAGAAACAAAGAGTGCTGCATTATATTCAAATGATTATGAGAACTAGTTTGTAAATGAAGCAATGAACCCACAAAAAGACCAAGAACTGAACTTCATCTAAGTTCTGTGAAATTAACAGTGCATAAAGCAACCAACACCTTCTAACCTCAAAAGCTTTGTTGGAATATTACACATGAACTTGGAAACAACTTAAAATTAGAAAATAACCTAAACTATACGAAAATCCTTGCCTCGTGCAGAGAAATGTAATATATCTTCTTTTACCACTTTTCTTTTAGCCATTTTTTTAAACAATTAATATGCTTATTTTTAAACACCAAATTTTCCTCCCAACCCTGAAATAAGATCAATCATAGCTTTTTTCCATCCCATTATAGAAGCTGCTATGTCAAGGGAAATACTTCTAACTACAAAACAGACAGGAAGGAGGAGTTATGTTCAGTCCTTCGGTTTCACATCTTCTAGTAAGAATGGCTTATTAATCTACAAACTGGCACCTAAAATTATATTCCTCACCTAATTTAGTCGGCCTACTGCCTCAAAGAATGCTTAATGCTTCAACAATACATGAGTCAAACCTGAAGATTTACAGTTCAACTCACTTTTGTCAGCAATCTTTTGGCGAGTATGTGATAGTGCCGCTGCCAAATTCTTTGTCCAACCATTGTAGCCACCAAAACACTGTAAAATATGCCAATGATAGTAAACAGTCCAAGCACAATCAATGCCATTATGAACAATAATGGAAGCCCTGCTTCACCAGCACCTCCTAGGCAACCACACTCAGTAGCAGCACTAGCACAGCCTTCAAAGCATGTAGTACAGTCAGTCCACATACAAAGAGTGCCAGGTAAATGACAATCTGCACACATTCTGCAAGATAGATAATGAACAAATTAATAATCTAATCAGTATGCCCCAATTCTCACATATATTAATTAGTGAATGATATACATAAGTATGTTTATCAGTATGCATATGTATGCGTACTTCATCCACGTCATTAGCACCACTTCAATAGCTTAGAACATCAAATAAATAAGAGGTAAATGCAAGCTGCTTTAAAATGAATCAGATCCCAGAATCCATCAAATACCATAAACTTCTTAAAACCATTTAGAAGCTACAGCCTATATTCCAATTCCCCAATAAAATTCTATGTGCTTCATCCCCTTCATTAGAGCCACTTCAATAGCCAAGTATATCAAATAAATGAGGCAGATGCAACCTGCTCCAAAATAAACCGGATCTTAGCATGCAACATCGCTTAAATTTTTTTCTTCAAACCATTTCAAGTTATATTCCCATTTCCCTAGTAACCCAAGTCCAGTATCAGCAGTGATAACAATGGCATTTCCCATTATACAGGGATTAACCAATATAATTTTTGTGCATGTGTGGATGAAATACATGGTTTCATCCCCTTCATTTGAAGTGTGTATGTGTGGATACATCCTAGACGATACATATTTGTGCATGTGTGGATGCAGGTTCTTAGACAAGCTTGTATTTGATATATGGAGGCATAATGATAGGGATAAACATGAAGTTACTCTGCTACACCAACTATGAGCAAATAAAAATGACGGGTAGCCTATCAAAAGGAAAAAAAAAAGAAATGACAGGGGTAGGGCAATAGAGAAAGAGAAGATGAGGTAGACAATGATAAACCATTGGAGTAGACCTGCTAAGTAGCAAACTCATTTTCCTTTAACGAATTAATATGTAACCAGTAAACTTTTAGAGAAAGAAATTATGAATACTAATATACCGAACTGGCAGTACAATGCAACATCTATCAAAGTTTACAAGTAGAGAATACCCTGGCTGACAGCAACAGAGGCATAATTCTCGACAAGGCTGAGCCAAATCATTACGCACTCTTCGATCATAGCATGTAATAAAGCACCCTGATATCCCCAGCAAAGCAAAAAATAGCAACGCGCCTGTATCCAACAATCATTTTGTTTAACCATCAGCAACAGCATACAAGTTGGGATAATGAGTATTTCACGCAAATAAACAATATTGAAGCATAAAACCCAGAAAAAAAAATGTCTACACAAGTAAAAATTAGGTTGAATAATCTAATCATAAAAATATTAATAACTTACTTTGGTTAAGATACCATCACACTTCATTAATCAAAATTTTTATTTAACATCATACTATTTTAGTCAAACTATGTAGCTAAAAGTATATATCAACTTTAAATTTACAAACCCAATGATTATTTGCTTCATTAATTTCATGTCTTAACAATATTAAATTCTTAATGATTAAGTTTTGTAATAATGAAAATGGATATCAATGCATGGTCCAGAGCAAATAGTGTTATATTGCAGTTTTAGAACTTAAATCAATCAACTTAAAGCTATCACTGAAATTTGACTTGCAAATTTAAATCTAACAAAAACAAAAAAGAAAGTACAGATTAACAAAGTTATTACCAAGTTAAATATTGAAGGAAACTTCACTACTTTCGAATAAACAACTTCTCAGCAAATATGTGGTGTGCTTTAGCTCAGAATAAGGATTTAGCTCTGGTTATCATCAGTCTATCAAGATGCAATAAAATCTAGCATGCAACAACCTCCTATGCAGAGACAAGCTCTTCCAATGCTACATTTCATATTTACACAATGGGAACCATATAAGTCTATTCCACAAATTCAGGGGACCACCCAATAATCAAAAGAAAAATTAACAAAGAAACTAAAACAAACAGTATTATCCGCGAGACCATGATCAAGATATTACTTCAGGTTCCTGAGATTTTACCACATATGTAGTAAAAACTAAGCACACTGTCAAAACCCCATGTAAGACGGAGCCATGACTGCTGGTAACCATCAACCAGAGAGACCAAATATGCCAGTGAAGCAATGACCTGAACACAATTAACAAAAGAACCAGAATTACACCTAACAATATATCTATAATAGAAGTATATTAACTATGCCACAATTAGCAATCAAGAACTGACTACATACTAGTTGAACAGCCAGAAATATTGATATAATGTCTCTAGTTACAAAAAATCGGAATTTCAAGGTTCTCCATTTCCTATCAGCAGCAACATGAACTCTCAGATGATAAGGAGCTTTACAAGTTGTGCAATGAGCAAATGCAAAACCTTCCTGCAAATAGAAAAAATGACATGATGAGATATTGTATCTATGGCCTAGGAAACAAAAGAAAAGAAAATGGATACACGGGGATAACATGCTAACACCCACATCCAACTCCCTTCTGATGACTGGTACCATTCTGTGCATGTGTGTATGCGCAGACACAGCCAGCTAAAACCAACTTTTTTCCTATGGACCGGTCATTATTTCATGTAGATAGTCTTCAAGAGGATAAGCAGAGCATAAGTTAATAAATACATCAATAACTAAAAAAGTAATTTTATCAATGATTGTTTTACTGATTGTTATAAATCTTTTATAACTGTCTGAACCACCTGTTTCTGAACTTTTTCTATGATCTTAGCATTGCCAAGTGCATCACGTTCAGAGCAAGTACATTCAACTATTAGGACATTTAGAACAACACCAATGATGCAAGAAAATATAACATAGCTACATAACTCAAATTATATTAAATTTAACCTATTACACTTGACTGTTCAAGATTATTATTCAGTTTGGAGTGATTTATTCTACTCCAATTAAAGATGCACTGCACAAAGTTAACCAAATTCCAGTTAGGAATACTTTACAATCTACGAAAGCATTTGAAATATTAAAGTCAAATATAAAATCAAATTACATGGTTCAATACCCTGAAGCTGACTTACTTTACATTAAAAATATATTCAGTACTAGTTCAAGTGAAAAAAAGAAGAAGAAAGAAAGCCTAAGCCAACTAAAGAAAACATGCATTTAACTGGAATTTACATGGTCAAAAGAGAATTTCCTTTTTTTGGTCTCCATCATAGAATAAAGGACTAAGTGTATCTAATAGACATCTTGTCTATGCTGTGAAGTTATATAATTTTTACTTTGTTAGCAGACACGGCAGCATAAAGTAACAGTATCAAAAAAAAAATTTGGGGGGTTGAGGTCTTTAAACAAACTCCAACAGTGCAACTTAGCGTATCTGATAAAGTAACAGCTATAAAAAAATCGTACATAGGCTCACCAAGAAAACCATAGTAAAAGTGAAGTATAACGCACTTGAATTCTCATTTAATAAAATGGGTAGTTATATCAATACCTTCACAGCTCGCCAATGATCTAAACAATCGCGGTGTACATACTTTGATGTTCCTTTGCAGTTACAAGGAGCAATAAAATCTCTACCTGTGGGAACCATTGCACATTGAATTATTAGCAGTATTTCCTTCAAAATCACACTAGGTAACAAAAACTTTTTTTGTCAGATCTATCGAACACTATTCCGAGGAATTTCTTCTTCAAAATGACAATTGATGTTATTTTCCTCTACAAATTCAGCAACAAAAGCAGTGAGCTTGCAACACTGGACCAAAAAGATCTTAGAATTGATCCAATTAAACGAAATTCTTTTCAGTGGAGGTGTAAAAATAAGCAAATACGGGCATATTTCAGAGAAAATCGATGAAACAAAATCTTTTTATTTAAAAATAGGAGAAATTGAGGAAATTAAGGTTTCAAAAGTTGAAAATACCATCGGTTTCCAGGCAAATTCGACACTGAATTTGATCTGCAGGGCCGGCCTCGAGGTCGATATCGCTGGGCTCGGCGATCGATGGGGGAGCCATAAGAGGCAACTCCTCCGCTTGATTGCTCATTGCCGATCGATAGTGAAACTGAGGGGAGACGGAAAGAATTGTTTGGGAGTCGGAACTGAATCTTACACGGAAAAAAGAAAGAGAGAAACCTGTCTTTTTCTCCTCTTTTCCTTTTGTCTTAATAATTTGGAAATATTATTATTTTACAAAATTTGGGTATTTATTTCAGCATTTGACAAACATGCCCCCAGGTACTGTAATACATTACATGGGCCTGGCTGAATTTGGCCCAACAATGTTTGGAAGCGGTCCGACAATGTCTTATGATCTCGCCCTATTTTATGTTCTTGAAATTGATTTACTTATTATAAAATAAAGCATTGTTTCTTCGTTAAAATGTTTTTAATTAAATTAAAATATAAAATAAGGTGATCCAATTATTAAAAATTAGACTCATATATAAAACTAATTTAATTAATAATTCATGATATTTTTATTTCTAAGATATTCAAAAAAATTATTAAATAAAGTATACTTTTTTCTTTGAAATGTAATTATGATAATCTTTTATACCTATAGAATTTTGATTTAGTAATGATAATTTAACTCGAAATCGACATATTTTGACTTAACATGTTCTGATAGAGTTAGAGTTTTTTTAAAAATTTGAGTTTAGGTCGAGTCAGGTGGGGTTGGATTTTTAAGAGAGTGAGGTCGGATCAGATCAGATTCGAGTAGAAGGTGAAAATTTGGCCCGAAAAATAATAATATAATGTCTTTAAAAATTTTATTATTTTTAATTAAGTTTTATTTTATAACGAGTCAGATCAAATTCATACTCTAAAGATTCAAATCAGATTAGAGTCAAATAGAAGATATATATATTTTTTATACGGATCGATTCGAAAAGAAAATTTATAATTTTTGGGTTTCATCAAATTTAGATGAAAGATATATATTTTTGAATTTGGTCAAATTGACCAAAAACTCGATTTGATCAGTTGCTAACCCTATTCTGACTATCGAGTATTTATAGGTAATTTTTCCATTAAAAAACCATTCGTTACAATTCAAAATGACTCAGACTCAACATGATAATGTTGAATATATGAGGGAAATGGCCCTTTTACACCACGAACACCCAAAAATGTTTTTTTATATATAAATATTTTAATTACTTTAAAATAAATAAAATTTATGGTTTATATATTAAAATATTAATAGTGAGTTATTATAAAAATATATTTTTATTATAATTATATTTTATTTGTATTTTTATATTTTTTTATTATAGTTTAAATTGATCTAATGTCGAAACGATTTTTTCTTAGGTGTGAGAAAATGGTGAGATTTTGAAAACCACATTAATTTTTAGTTTACCTCTTTCAATTGATTTTTAATTTAAAAATAAATGCGATTTAAAAGACCTCTTGTTTCGAAAATTTTTGGATTTCCTTTATGATCGAAAAAAATATGGTTCAAAAAGTCGCCACCAATCTTTGATTAGGGTGTGATTGGGCACCCAAAAATGCTTTGTCATTTTAAATAAAAATTAATTTTAATTAAAACAACAAATTGAGGTCTGCGTTACCAAAATCCGAGTTCGGGAGTCGGTTACGTGTGGGGAAGGATTAGCACCCCCACAACGCCCTAAATCGGTACCTAATCGATTAATTAACGTCCTTGCATTGAACTTTTACAAATTCGAATTCAATTTGATTTTTGATCCCATAAAATAAAAATGTAAATTTAAAACATTCAAAAGCACTCAAATTAAATTAAAATTACTGAGTCGTTTTAGAAAGACAAAGAATGTTCGATTATTTACAAATGTCGAGACCAGATCTTAAAAGTTATAACAACCTTTTCTCGATAAATTTAAATAAACGAACATTTCCTTTTCTTTCGTTCCCAAATTTTAGGTAACGAATCAATTTTTTGAGTTTCACTTTCGGGATACACTTTTATTTTAAAATCATTAAAAGCGGACCTCAAATCAGTTATGACTGCCCACTTCAACAATTTTAAATTAAAAGGGTATTACCCTTAATCCAATTATGTGATATGTCGAGTTATGCAAATGAGGCTATCATGTGAATTATGCAAAAAGTATGTCATGCCAAAATTAATTAAACAAAATTAAAAAAATAGCATACAATGTGATATACAAAAAATTATGTACATATCTTTTAATTAAAAAATCATAAATTACGCATATTAATGCCTAATGTACAAAATGTGACTCAAATATAAAAACAAAATCATAACATGCTAAACAATGAAAGTCAAAAGTCAAAAATAGCAAAATTTAAAAAACATAAGACTGGGGACCGAAATGAAATGCACGAAAGCTATAGGAACAGAATTAAAAACATAAAAACTACGACATAGGGACAAAAACGAAACATAAAGAAATTTAACAGTTCAATGTCTGAAACGGCAAAGATTAAATACAACAACACTTAAGACTAAAATTAAACGCGGGTAAAATAAAGAGACAAAATTGGAAACAGGAAAACATTCAGTTTGGGGACCAAAATAAAAATAAACACAAAAACTAGAGGAATTAAACGACATTTTCACCCTAAGGATTCGGTGGCTAAAAGTTAATTAACCCTAAATCTATAATATATAACCTAGCTAAATAACTAAACCTAGACTAATCTGACTTCACACAAAACACACCCAGCCGTTTCACACTTCCCTCTTCACTCTTCCACGCACGGTGTTGCCTCGCCCAAACATCCATCGCCGCTATTCAAGCCTCTCCTCCCTCCTATGTCTTCGACTAGAACCCAAGAAACAAAACCTAGAACCTCTTATTTGTTTTCACTACACTCCCTCTCAAACTCATCTCTTCTCCTTCCCTACGATTGCATATCACCTAAAACAGAACCTCCATGGCTGCCATCCACTGCTCAACTCTCTCCAAAACAAAAAACCCATGATCGACGTTTGGCCACCACTCACCGACATAGTATCCTAAACCGACCACCTATGTTCTATGACATCCTAAACGAAACCCTAACCGAAGCAAAACGGCCATCACAACCCTCCATCGCTCAAAGCCCCAACAACGGAAGGAAGTATATCGACGAAGAAGTAAGGTAAAAATTTCATTATAGCTTTCATTTCAATGAACAAATTTCGTTTCTAACATTTTCATAATACATATTTTTTAGATCATTCCTTCAAACGAAATCTCCTAAATTGCCTCAAAGATGCTAAGTTAACAAGCTTCTGCCCTAAGGATGTAACCATGGCACTGGAAATGGCCCCAATTTCTAAGGTAAACATACTGCTATTCCTTTACGCTTTTGAATTGGGTTCAATTCGAAACACATACACACACAAGAACATTATGAAAACAATGGAAAATGAAAATAAAATAAATACCCTTGTTGATTCCGTGTGTTGTCTTGGTTCAACGAAATGAGGGAACTTCTCTATTTCCTTTGATTTTCAAATTCTTTTTGTACAACCGTTTGATCTTTGAATACAAGGGAAAAGAATGTTGTTTACACTCACTATTTTTATTTGTTGTTCTGTCTGTAAGACAAAACAACCAAAAATCCAAACAATCTTTCGTGCCTTTCTTTAAAAAAAAATATTTCTCTCGGCTCCAATTCCCCCTGTTATGTCCTCTCTGTGTTTTTTGATCCTTCCCCATTTTCAGTCGTTGATATCCCCTCAAAACTGACTATTTACAGTTTTTTAATTCCCCACTATCTAATTATTTCAACTGCTAAAAACCAACCTCAATCTCTTTCTTTTTCTGCATCAAACTGTTGTCAATTGGTCTTGAGCTGGACCTTCATCTGGTTTGGGCTCATCTGGGCTCTCATTGCTTCGGGTCTGCTCCGACTTGGCCGCGGACAGAAACGAGCATCTACATCTAATTCATATATACAATAATAATTTTTTGAATTTATTATGATTTAAATTGATATGATTCATATATAAGCGTAAATATAATTTAAATGCTATATTTTTATTTTATAACATAATGTTTATGATGAACATTTTATCTTTTCAAACTTAATTTTTAACAGCAATCTTAAACAGTTAAATTTTAAACTATACTTTTATACACCACTTTTAAAAGTTCATTTCTACAACACTCTAAAATGTCAGTTTTCAAAAGATGCACCAATCAGACCTAAATGGCTAGTCAAACAAATAATTTTATTTCTCTTTGATTTAAAATTATTTTTTATTAATCAAATTATGATAAAAAAACCGTATAAGTATATTACTTTTGGTACTCATATCAACCGGATAAGTATCTCAAAACCTTTTAAATTTTTTGTTCGGAGTTATTAATTATCACTTTTTGATAATATAATTTGTAAGGTTCGAACTATTTTTTCTTCTTCTTAAAAATATAATATATCTATCATAATATAACACTTATTGATATGTTTATACGATATCCAATACCATCAAAGGTGTTTTAGAGATTTAAATAAAAAAAAATATTTTCTGATAAATACTATATCTAATCATGTCGGAGGGAAAGAGAAAGATTTAAAACAAATAATTAATTAAAAAGAGAAAAAAAGTAAAAAGGAAAATCCACTTAGGAACATACCAAACATTGCAATTTGAAAAGGAAAAAAAGTCAACCAGTGCATTGGATTGCTTGAAGTACCAGCCAACCATCATTGCTACTTTACACAAATCATTGCCGACCGCTCCTTCTAATATGCGTAGGGTCGCCTTTTATTGGTATGAATTGTAAATATCTTTTAAGTTCTGTTTAATTTTTTTTCCTGAAGAGGGTGTATTTTGTATGGTATCGAGAGTGCCCACGTATAAAATAAGATAAAAGATATAGGCCTTGATAAAAAATCTTCCTAATTTTAAATGGAGAAAAAAATACTCGTATCAATGTCAATAAAGTTCAAAACGAATTACAACTTCCATACATTCTAACGATAACCAATGAATGCGAAACTCCATGGTGTACCACCCATACCAATAGGTTAGGACACAAACACTATTCTTCAACGATCATGTCTGTTGTTGCGGACAGCAACGGCCCTCTCAATGCTCCTGGCTACTTCACGTTATTAACATCCCGGAGCGAATACAAACCAACTTTTGGAACTCCTATAACGAGCTCAAAACTAATAAACAATCAATAAAATAATGGCACACATCATGTTGA